ACACGGGGGTCATGGGACAAGCACGCAGGCGATTAAGGAGTCTTCAGCCTGGTGAGGGCACAGTGCGTGGCCGGCGGGGATGAGCTCGGCCCCAAGACCCACAGGCTCACAGCAGACATGGCCCCGAAGTGCCCGCCTCCTGCGTCCTGGACTCCTTTGCGAGCGCTCCCCACGGGCGGCGGCGTTGGCCCCCGTGTGCTCGCTCTGCCTCATCGGTCTTCCTTGCCCTCTGTCCGAGGCCAGCACATGCCTGGGACACGGAGTGGGGGTGTGGAGGGAGCATTTGCTGAATGAATAATGATCGAAGAATGAAGTCCAAAGCAAGAAAGTCTTCACTCCAAATCCAAACTGGTGTGTTTGTGTCAACGATTCAAAACCGGTGGCTGTGCTCAGTGGACACACATTCAGGCTTCACTGTCCCCGCTCCCAGAGGTGGCACGGCTGGCGCTGGGCCGCTGAGCGCTGTTCTCCACGTGGGGGCAGCCCTGCCCCTGCCCCCCAGGTTTTCACGTTCTGGAGAAATCAAATTAGCAAGGCGGGGCGGGGAGCTGAAGGCATGGGAGCAGCAAGAAGCCACCACGGGGTGCACGGGGCCTCCCAGTGTTCAGCAAGAGGGGTCACTGGGGGGCCGGGCCGGCGGGAGGGTGGCTGCTGACTCTGATCAGTGGTTTTCAGAGCATTGGCTGTGCTGTGTGGAGCTGTCAGTACCAGCAGACCCTCAAAGGACATCTGCAGAATGGACACGCTCAGCTGTCTAAGGGGGAGTCCGGGCTCCCAGCAGAGCAGCGGGAGAGCAGATGGTGGGGGTGCGGCTCTCACCCGCGCTCCCTGTGGCCCACACACCCTGGTGCCAGGGGAGGCGGGACGCGGGCCACTGGACGTGTCGAGCACCAACCATCCAGCTGACGGAGCAGCTTCAGGGTTCCGGCATTTTCCCACCACAAGGCAGATTTGTGCTGAGCATCCAAACCCAGGAAGGCACGGCGGTCAAGGAGCGTCAGGACCCTTCCGATCCGACTCCCCGCGCACGGGCAGGAGGGGCGGGCGCAGCTTCCCTCGCTAACAGGGCTCCCCACCCCAGGAGCAGACCCATCCGTCCTCCGTCAGTCCTGCCGGCCCAGCGCGTCTGTCTGAGCTTATGCAGTGAGGGAGCAATCACATATCACTCCGCCACACGGGGTCCAGGACGCTGCCCGGCTGCCCGAGGCATGCTGAGTGATCAGGCCCGCTCACTGCGGCATTTGATTCCATCATGATCCAGGGAAGCTGCTGTTTTCCAAAACCCATGTCCTCCACGAGCTTGAGAAGGGTTCTGGGCTCCTCCAATGCCAAGGGCGGGAGCGAACCCTCTCCTGTGTCCACGCTTCCTCCGCACTCCAGGCCAGGACACGGCACCTCGCCCTTGCACGTCTCCTGGGACCCTCAGCGGCAGCCACAGCTGGACCAGGGACGGCACTTGCTGTGGCTCCAACACAGACGCCATTGGGTCCTCATGCTCCCGGGGACACAAGGCCCCCGCCCCTGGGCTGACAGAAGATCACCCACCGGAGGTGCCCGGGTCCCAGGGAGCCACCGGGTGGCTTCCCCATGTCCCTGTGCACGGCCACTTGCAGCCCGGATCAGAGGTCTGCGGCTTGACCCCACCCAAGGTCAGAGGGCGCAGCCACAGGGAAGCCTGTACAGGGAGGCAGGGCGGCGGGGCCTGGCCTGGGTCAGAGGGCAGCCTGGCTCCTTGCTCTGCGTCTGCCTCTCCTAATAATTAGCCTGGGAAGTGCCTGCAGCTGCAGGGAGCGGCCGCCCTCGCCTCCCCAGCATAAAATATGCACCAGGAACACTCCAAACAGCACCGCCGCCTCCGTGTCAGCGGCCCTGGGGATGGAGCTAAAAATAGGCAGGAGCTTGAAGAATTGCTGACAAGGGGGGAGGCTGGCGCGTACAGGCCCGGAGCACACGTGTGCTGAGACAGGCGACCCTCACGGCAGCCCCTGGAGGGGACCCCTCCTCCCCACAGAAGCTATTTTTATCAGCAACAGCGCGCCCCAGGCCCCTCAGTGAAGAATCAAAATGGCCTTTAATTGGTGAGAAACCACAGCCTGATGGACACAATGCCAGGGGCAGGAGGCTGTGGTCACTGCTGCGCTGGCCCCTGAAACCTGAGGCTTCAGTCACCTCCCTTCAAGCAGGTGTCGCTCCCCACCCCCTTCAGCCTCCCCATCGTGCCCAGCACCTCCTCCTCCACCCATAGGCCCAGGAGCCCTGTCCAGGTCGGCCACAGAGGGCCCCTGACCACAGGCCGCTCCTGGGGCGCCGAGGCCCCCCTCCCAGAGCGCACAGACTGCCGAGCCTCCTGGCGGTGGCACTGGCTTCCCCGCCAGCTGAGTTCTGGGGTGTGTTGGGGAGCAGTCGTGGCGGCTGCTGGACCTGGGCGAGTGCACCCTGTTCTTGGCTGTGGAAGGTACTGCAGACCTGGTCAGAGGACCTGTCCATCATTCACGCGGCAGGAGCCTTTCCAAAATGAAGACATCACTACCCCTTGGCCATCTGGTCTTTTGCCCATTTGGGGACCCTGGTCACTGGAGGCGCAGGTGCCTGCCTGCCCCCTCCAGCCCTCGAGTCTGTGCTCCTTCCACCCGGACGGCTCCCGGTCCCCCCACTCCAGGCCCGACCGGAGTGCCCTCTCCTCACCTCCTTACTGAAGTTCCAAGTGCTCCCCCCAAAACACGGGGCCCCCACCTCCTTCTTTCCCTTTGCCCCCCTATCACGCTCTACTCTCCCCACATGGTGACTCCCCTCTCCCTCGTAGGGCGCACGCTCTAGCGAGGAGGGTCCGAGGAAAGACAGGGAGGAGCCCCTGATATAAACCAGCTCGTGGGACCCTCCCCACCCTGTGTGGCCCACGGGAAGCACTGCCTGAGATCACAGAGCAGGACCAGGGGCCTGACACCAGGGGCAGGTCCACTGAGCGAGGGAGGCTGGGGACGGAGGGACCTGCGGCTGCCACTCTGACTGTCGGCGAGAGAACAAGCCTGTGATGCTCCCAGACAGTTCCTGGCCCCGCTCTGCGCCAGAGTCCTGCCCAGGGCCAGGGCCAGGGCCGGGGCCGGGCCGGATACTAAACTGATGCGCACGCACTAGTCCACGACGGGAAGGCTTCACCCAGAGCAGCGAGGGAAAAGTGGGAGGAGCTGGCTCTGTGCCCACCTGCACGAAGGCGTGCAGGCAGCAGAGCACGAGCAAAGGCCCTGGGGCTGGAGGAGTTTGGGGCTGAGGAGCAGAGGAGGCCGACCGGGCTGGACCCAGACCCAGGGCAGTTCAGGTGGGAGAGGGGACGAATCTGATTTGTCTTAACAACCTTGATGGCTGCAGTGTAGAGCCGGATGGAGGGCAGCAGGGGGAGGAGGCTCAGGGCTGAGTAGGACCCAGCAGCAGGGACAGGGCCTGCAGACACTGGGTGTGGGCCGAGTAGGAGAGAGGAGCCGGCCAGGTTCCCATCGCACGAGGGGCGGACACACGAGCAGTGGAATCTTCCTCAGGGGAAGATAATGGCCTCAGTGTGGGGTAAATCGGTGTGAGATGCCTGCAGAGGCCCCGTGGAGAGACAGAGCTGGCAAAGTCGAGGTGGGAAGGGCACAGGCGGGACCTGTCGGAGCCTCATGCTTAGGGGGACTGTGGGGTGACCAGTGAGTCATTCCAAAGGCAGGGAGAGGCCAGCGAGTGCAGACGGAGAGCGTCCTTGGATGTGGCCACCCTGCTGGAGCCAGAGGCCGGGGGACTGGGAGGAAAGAGGTCCGGGACCCCCGAGTGTGGCGGGACGTTAGCACACAGGACAGATGCTGGGGGCAGCTTTGCTCACAGTAGGGCGCACGCATTTTTCAGAGAGCTCCCACTAAGTGCCAAGACTGTCCCAGGCCTAGTGATCCATTAGGAGCAAACCCGTCCCAGGCCTCAGGAGGCTCGGTCGGGGCCGGGGAGACGGACTATCAGCCAGCGACCGGCTACCCCAAGCCCCACGGCGGCCGGGCTCCAGAGGAAGCAGGGCAGGTATGAGAGGAGAGGGCGACGGGCACGTGGATGGGTGTCCTCTGAGGAGGTGACTGGGGGCTCCGGGTGGGGGGGGGAGCAGGCTGGGTGGGCGGCAGGAGCTTGGACTTTAGGCGACATGCACCAGACCCAGGGGCTCTCAGCAGGGAAGGGACCAGATGAAACAGCTGAGAGCCGCCACCTGGTGCTGAGGAAGGAGGCCATGGGCAGGAGGCTGTGGTGGCCCCGGTGCCACCAGGACGGGCAGGGGAGGGCGTGAGGGGTGGAGCCTGGAAAGTCTCCGGGACTGTGAGCACTGGGACCTCAGGTGTGCACAGCTGACAGGGCTGGGAGTTGTCAGGGGAGGAAGTCATTAAGGGCTCTGTTTACAGATAAAGCCCCAGTGAGCCTCCGCCCTCCCCATCGGGCCACAGCAGCCTCCGCATCGTGCTCATCTGAAGCTCAGCTGAGAAGCCGCCGTGGAGTGACCCGCGGGGGGCGGTGACCCACAGGGTCGGCCAGAGACTTTCCATCAGCACAGTGCGCCCCAGACCCCTCAGTGGAGAATCAAAGGTGGCCTCTCCTTGGTGGGAAACCACAGCCTGGATGGACACATCCAGCTCCGCCCCGTCTTTCCTATGGCCCCAGGCCGAGCCCAGCCAGGTGCTGAGGCAGCCCAGGGTCGGGGGTCCCCCGGGAGCCACCTGGGAGGGTCCTCCCTCCAGCACCTGCGCAGGGCAGGAGCCCTTGGCACGGAGCTCACCCCTGAGAGGAGCCCATGACGAGGGGCTCGTGAAGGGGTCTCCCTCGTGCTGTCTGCTAGCCCCCCCGCCCCTGCCCTCTGAGGGCCCTGGCGGCTGACCTACACCACAGCCAAGGCCGCTGGCTCAGGGTGTGGCGAGGAGGGCCCAGCTGCCCAGAATGGGCTCACGTGACTCAGTTTCCCCTGGGAGCCCAGGGAGCAACGCGGGGGCACTCACCACGAGCTGGGGCACTGGCAGCGACCTGCCCTCCTGGCTCAGGGACACGTAGGTGAAGAAGGCACTGGCCGCCCGGTAGCGCGGCTGCGTGTTGTCCACCACGGGGTCGGCGTCCACCAGGACCTCGATCTCCATGGACTTATTGCTCGTGAAGGTCATGCGCCCCGAGATGGTGATGACATAGCCTGCGAGCGGGACAGCGGGTTAGGAGGGCGAGGCTGGGGGGCGGGGCACAGGATCAGCGGACGGAGGACGCTAAGACACCGGGTTAGGCAGCACAGGCACTCTAATCACTAGGACGTTCACACGGCAAACCATTAGTACCCACGCACGTCCATCTCCTCGCGACAGGCAGACTCGTCTCATTCATGGAAGAAGTTAGTGGCATTGGGCCCTCCCCGAGGCCCCTGCGCTGGGAGTGGCAGTGTGTGCGGGGGGGTGGGGGGGGGAATGCCTCCTCACTCCTGCCCCTCAGGGCAAGCCCCACCCACCTGCAGGCAGCCCTGGGGAGCTGGCTCCGTCCGGAAAGCTAAGGCCCAGTCTGCAACCTGCACTGTCCATGCTGTGGCCTTGTGTGCCCACTGGAGCCACAGAGCGGCTCCCCACGCTGCTCAGCACTACAAGGAACCTCCTTCACGTCCCCCCACCCCCCACCCCCAGCTCCCTGGCTGCCATGTCCCAGATGCCGGTCTGAAGGGCTCGTGCCATTGGGTCGGGCCAAGCTGCCACACTGACCGGGGTCCTGCGTCCCTGAGCACTGCCTGCGCTTCAGCCCCAGCACACGGCCACCTGCGTCCAGGCAGGACCTGCGGCCCCTCCTCTGAGCAGGGACATCTGCCTCCTGAGACCCCGTCCTGGTCAGAGGCCGCGCGCTCACCACCTCCCCGCGGTCTCCCTTGTGGAGTATGACGAAGTCTAAAGTCACGTGTCCCCATAAGTATCCCGGTGTCCTCTCTCCCTCAACCCGACCCCTCCAGACTTCCCACGCCTGGGGTCACGAGCTCCCCCCTGGCAGTCGCTGCTGGGCCTTGCGCCCCTCTCTGCCCCTCGCCTCCAGGTCACGAGCTCTTCCCTCCACCAAATCCCTCCACCTCCCGGAGCAGCCACCATGGGGACGGCATGGAAGGGCCAGGTGCTGAGCCGCGCGCCTGGCGGTGGGAAGCGGGAGGCGCTGGCACAGCCACGACCACCCGATGGGCTATTCAGGACCACGTGGAGCACTAACCCCTGGGCTTCCAGGGGAAGAGCCAACACCTGGCCGTGCCTCCCACATGTGGCCGTACCCGCCCCCCGTACACCGCCCCCTCCCCCATGGCCTCACTCTGGCCTGGCTCAAGGAAATGCCTGCCAAGGCCGGCCGCACGGCTGGGACCTGCTCCCCGAAAGCAGTGCTGGCTGTGGGGACCCTCCGTGCCCCTGGGAGCCTGTGTCCCAGCTCCAGGCATGTTCAGAGACCCCAGAAGACAGACAGGTCGGGCAGCATGGCGACTGTTAGGGGAGTGAGCAGGCTACAAGCAGAGCAGTTATTCCAGGTTATAAAGTTCCAGAATGTTCCATGCCACATTTAACTGCATACTTACAGGGAGCTCTGCGGGTTGGGCACAGCCATTTCTGGGGGAAGGAAGGCCACGTGGTCAATGACGGTGGCATTACAGGGGACGGTCACACACAAGCATCCAGGGCACACCTGGGTCGCTCCTGGTGATGGCCAGACGGACTGGTCAGCCAGGCCCGGCTCCCGAGGCCCCGCCCGAGTCCCCAGCTCCTGCAGCCGGACCCGCGCCAGAGCCTGGGGCTTCTCGAGGGACAAGGCCCCATCTCCCTCCGAAAGAGGAAGAGGCTGGGGGCTGGCGCTGAGTGTTCTCCGACTTTCAGGAGGGAAGCGATTCTGTCCTGTAAGTGGCACTGAGGCCGCCTTCGGCAGCCACGGGTCTCATGACAGCCACGGGGGACGCTGACCCTCGGTGCCCCGCGCAGGCATGGAGGATGGACCCGTGAGGCTGTGCTCATCGCCCGCCGAGGCTGACACCCAGGCCGAGGGCGGATGTCGGCCATGTTCACACCTGGTGGTGAGAAGGCCCCAGATCCGAACAGCCCCCGTCTCGCTGGGCGGGTGAGGGCACGTCGCACCAAGCACTTAGCACGCCTGGCGCCCAGCGGCGAGCGGGGTCGGGGTGAGAGCCAGGCCGGCGGGGTCGGTGGCTGCGCCTGAACCCCTCGCCAGTTTGTCTCTAAGTCACTGCTGAGCTGCCGCAGTGCACGGCCGGCGCCTGGCAGTGCCCACCCGCTCCCCCAGCAGATGGGCAGACATCAGCAGGATGCCAGGGTTTGGAAAAACAAATAGAATAATAAAAAACTGCTCTTGCCAGGACTGCAAAGTTGCCAAATATTTCAAACTTGAAGAGCAGCTCAGCGTTTAAGCTCCAAACAGCCATGGCTGTGCACGTTCTTAAAAGGCACGGAACCCCTGCAGTGATGTTGGTGTTTCTGACATCACACACCCAGAGCCCTTTCTAGAAGGTTCCTCGTTTCCCACAGTCATTCTCCACAAGAAAACTTTGGCTTTTGGTTCCCACACCCAAGGCTCCAAACCATCCCATCACAGGGACCTGTTTTCTCCCTCGCCTGTTCTCCACGGCTGCCTGGGCATTTTCACTTCTCAGTTAAAAATATTCAGAAACGGAGCAAGTGACCTGTGGGAGCGCAGGACGTGGGGGGGCGGGGGGAGGGGGCGGCAGCAGCGCCGGCTGAGGCCTCCGCCCGTGGAATTGGACACAAACGCACAATTCTGTGTCTGAGGCCATGTGGCCAGGGCGCTGCCAGCGCTGAGCCCTCCACCCGGGCGTGACTGTGGACAGAGCCGTGGCGCAGAGCAGGGAAGTGCTTTTCTCCGCCGCGGTTCCCAGGGCACCGGAGCCACCGCACAGGGCGGGCGCCATGGGCCGGCGTGGTTCCCCTGTGGATCCTGAAGCCCCTCGCGGTCCTGTCCCCGGGAGTCGCTCTAGAGAGAGCGGCACGGCATCCTTCACCGAGTTCCCGCGCTGTCCCCGGGGCCCTGGAGGGCGAGCCAAGGACAAGGCTCGCGTGTTTGGGGCAGATCCCTTTTCCCGAAGCCCGAGCCCAAGGTCAGCAGCTTAACTCGCACTCGATGCCGCCAGGGCGGGGAGGAGACCCTCTGCCCTTCCCGTCACCCGCGCTGGTGCTCGGGCCAGGTGCTGCAGGGGCGTCACCCGCGCTGGTGCTCAGGGGCCAGGTGCTGCAGGGGCGAGCACCCCAGGGCCTGGGAGGCCCCCGCGGCTCGGACGCGGCATCGCTCCGGCCAACAGGCTGCTTTCGCGGCGAGCCTCGTTCAGAATCAACGCCGCCTGAACCCCAGCGAGTGCTGCTTCCCAGGGCGCAGGGCCTCACCTCCGAAGACACCACAGGACAGAATGGCCCCGTGCCGAGAGGGGACACTGGCTGCCGTCTCCACAGCAGCAGCAGGTGAGACGGGCCAGGGGAACTGCGCCCGCACAGGCCACAGGCAGAGGCACGAGAGACGCAACTCGGTTTCCAGGCCGGGTCACCGGGCGGCACTGGTGTCGGGAAAACGAGCCAGGCCAGCACTGCCCCTGGGGCAGGCTGCGGGGGCTCCTCTGCACCGAGCCTGCTGCTTACCCCACAGACCACCCGCTCCTCCCGGAGAGGAGAGCAAGGCAAGCGACGGCCGGCTACAGTGAGCGTAGCATCTCCGCGGGCTCCGCACACTCCGCGCGTGGGGCGCTTTAAGAGCACGAGTTTCTGCTGCTCCAGCAGGACGAAGGCTCCCATCCCGTCGGAGGGACAGCCTTCACCAGAATGAAGTCATTTCAGCGAACCCTGGGCTTCAGCTGCCTCCCCAGGACAGAGCGCGAGCCTGGCCTCCTGCTTCCCGTGGCGAATGGGCAGACGCCAGGGCCACCCTGGTGTGAACCAGAAGCTAATGGCGCCAGGGCCCCAGGCAGCCGCAGGCACCCTCCCTGTGGGCAGAGCGCTGTTACCTTTTCTGATCTTGTCGTGAAAGTTGATGGCGTCCACAGAAGCTGTGACTATGTTGGTCTTGCAGTGCCGTGCGGCCACGATGCCGGCCACCTCATCCATGAGCTTCATGGTGACGCCTGCGCAGAAAAGAGGCACGAGGCAGGTGAGACGGGGCAGGGAGCTGCTTCCCACCAGGGAACAAGGTGTGAACACCAAGCCCTCCCAGCTCCCACCAGCGGGGGGCTGCACGGCGCTGGGGGCGGGCAGGCACGGGGACTGGTGAGGCTGATGGAAGCCTGGCTTCCTCAGGAGCTTTTTAAAATTGTTTTTAAATATGTTTTGATTTTAGAGAGAGAGGAAGAGCAAGATAGAAACATTGATGAGAGAGAAACATCAATGGGCTGCCTCCTGCACGCCCCCTACTGGAGATCCAGTCTGCAGCCCGGGCGTGTGCCCCGACCGGGAATTGAACTGGGGGCCTCCTGATACTCGGGACAATGCTCAACCACTGAGCCACACCGGCTGGGCCTCCAGGAGCTTTTGAAAATGACCCCAGCTGAAGTTCTAGGTCAATAACAAAATACAGTCCTTTGTCCTGCCCTCTCCAGAGATGTCTCCTGCCAGGACAGTGTCCTTCCTGAGTGGCTGCACCAAAGTCAGGTCCCAGTGCGGGTAGGACGTGGCGGAGTCGGACCCTCAGAGCTGCTGGGGATGGAAAGTGGTGCGACTGCAGCCACTTTGGAGGGAAGTGGGTTTCACCAAAGGCCAATTCCGCGCCACACGAGGCAGCCAGCCCACCCCCAGTGCACACCCGCGAGAACGGAAAGCATGTCACACCCCTGCGTGCGGATCTCATGACGGCGTCTCCCAGCAGCCAGACCGGGATGTCCCCCCACCAATGAGGGGACGAAGGACTGAGCCCACCTGTGCAATAAAAACAAAGAACCAACACTCTACACATGGGTGAGCCTGAAAACACGACGCTGAGCGAGAGAAGCAGGCACAAAGGCCAGGCGCTGCGTGGCTCCATGCATGCAAGGTGCCGGGACAGGCAGGTCCCGAGACAGGAAGTAGGTCGGTGGTTGTCCGAGGCTGGGGAGCAGAGGGGGGGAAGGGCCTGCTCATGGGTATGAGTGTCTCTTTGGGGTTGACAATGCTCTAAGTTGCTTGTGGTGGTGGCAGTGTAGCTGATTACACTGAAAACCAGTGACTGGTGGTGAGTTGTGAGGTCTGTGACTTCCTCTCAACAAAGCTCTTCTAGAAAACACAGTCAGAAAAGCAGGCTGCACCGGGCTGGCCCTGCCTGCTGGACAGAATCCCGACAGCACACCTGCTAGCTCCCGCCCCCGACCTCGCACCCCAGCACAGCACGTGATGCTTGTTTCACATTCACAGCTTAAACATGCCCTTCGGTTGCGCTACTGAGACTGTCCCCAGGAAAGCAGCAAAGGGTACTGGTCAGCTCACAGCTCCCGGAAATCTTAGTCACAGACCCACCCAGGACACAGGGGCTCCCGGTCGGAGAGGCAGAGCCAGCCCCGGCCTGGGAAAGCGGGCTCCCAGGGAGCCTGCAGGGAGGGGCGGCAGACCAATGCCGACGCCAGGCCACCCGGACGAGGGCCCGAGCCACCAGCCTGGGCTCTGGTGTGTACGAGGAGCCTGCCCATGTGTAGACATGGGATTCGTTACCGCTTTGCCGAGTGGGGAAAACAAAATAAATACCAGGTCACGGAGAGGCCAGGAGCTCGTGCTGCCCCGCGGCCGCGGCTGAGCCTCCGGGCCTCACAGGTATTGGGGGACGCCGCTTCCCAGGACGTGGAGGCAGGGAGGCCGTCTCCTCTCCGCGTCTGCATACTGAGCATTTCCAGAATAAAAAGGGTTGTTTTTTGTAACGAGTGTCCTTGACTTTAAGAAAGTGGGCTTCCATTACCACGACTCTCATGGAAGGTGCCACTGAGGACCACGGTGCTTGGCTCGGTGGGTGGCGGGCGCCCCACTCGGTCTGCTGAGGTGTCAGCATCCCCTCTTCCAACTAAGGCAAGGCTCAGGCCCGGAGGTCAGCGCTGGAGGGAGTGCAGTGAGCCTGCGGTGGGGGAGTGAGTGCTGGCCGGCCAGACAGCAGCCGGGGCGGGCCCAGCGCTGTCCGCGTATCACAGCAGGAGCCGGAGGCACAGAGGCCACAGAGCTCGCGCAGGAAGAGTGGGACCAGCCCACGACCACGGGCACGAGGCCACACGGCGCTGCCTCGCCATCCACGACTGCGAGGCGGGGCTCCAGGTGGATTCCGAGCTGCGGGGCGACTACGGAAAGGGGCGCTCAAGGCCACGGCGACTGGGGGCAGCGCGATGGCCTGCAGGTGGAAGGCCACGGGCTGCGCGGCCAGCTCCGGCCACCAGGCGCGTCATCGGCCAGGGGGTCAGTTGGGGCAGGAGGGAGGGCGAGGAGGTGGGACAGGAAGGAACCCTGAGCTGGAATGAATGTTTAGAACAGAAGATACAATGAGCCCTCTCTGCGTTCCTGTAGGAGGGGCCGGTGAGGATGGAGGCGTGAGTGGAAGGAGTCAGAACCAGCCCTGGGAGCGCGGGTGAGGCCCCATTGACCGGAAATGCCAGTGGGGGTCCCACAGGCCTCACTGTTCCTGAGAACAGCGCAGGGCCGAGTGCGCCAGAGCGTGGCCGCGAGCCCGGGCGGACGGGAGGCGTGAGCCGCTGGGCGCTCCCGCTGTCAGCCCGGCAGCCCCGGCCCAGCACCCAGGCCTCTGCGTCACGTGCGACAGAGCCCTCTGAGGCAGCACTGAAGCTCTCCGTGTAGCGAGCCCTACAATCTACCCTGATTACCGGGGTTCGCCATGTGAACTATGACGGCGAAAGTGTAGACCTGCTCCTCGAACACTGCCCTCATCAGGGTTAGAAAGAAAAAAACAAGACTTGCTTGGCCACTAACATATAGACAAACATCGGCACCAGAGGTAACGTCTAACTGCCTACAGGCTTGTTTTTTGAAGTATCAACAGCGCGCTGAGTGGCCTGAAAGAGGCTTCATTGTCTTTCCTGGGCCCGACTGGCTGACGGGGCCACGCTTGCCGACAGACCCACAGCAGCCGCGCTGTGGGCGGCGACTTGAAATGCCCCATTTCTACGTTTAATTCTGGGGACGGAGTGTGGGGCCAGCCCCTGAGATGAAGGCAACGGTAGTAAGTGCAGCCATGGTGAGGAGCCCCGTGGTGACCACAGGGTCACTCCAGGGGCCGAGTGACAGCCTCCTCCCCAGACAGTCTGGCCTCCCTCCCAGGCGCCACACGGACCTGCGGGCACCTCTGTGCACCGGACCAAGGGCTGAGGAGCACTAAAGGTAATCAATAAGGATGATTTTTGGCAATTAATGGGCAGTGATGATAGGTAAAGATGACAGGTTTCTAACATCAAAACGTCAAAAGCGGGAAGTCTGCAGAGGCCTCGGGCACAGCCGGACCGTGGCTCCTGTGGGCCGAGCATCACAGACCAGGGGCCGGGGGAAGGGCCGCCACATTTGGTCGCTCACTGTCCGAGGGAATTTGAGACAGTCCCTGTTAAATCTGCCGGCTGCTGGGTGGGGATCAGTGCCTGCCCGTTGTGAGCAAGGAGGCAGGGGAAGGAGGGCAGGCGAACCCTGCATGGAGCCGGGACCAGGCCACCGTGTGTGCAGGAGCCCCATCCCCCCCCCCCCCCCCCAGCTCTGGGGAGGTGGCAGCCTCACCCGATTCCATGCACGGTCAAGGTCACATCTTTGAAGGCCAAGAACCATTCCACTGGTGTCCATTTCCTCAAAGGAGTCTAGACTGAAGTTGGGGGTGAAGGCTAATCCTATATAATAAAAGGCTAATATGCAAATTGTTCCCTCGGGAGTATGATGGCTCACTATGGTGTGCACTGATCGGGAGCGGTGCAGAATGAAGGAAGGGCCTGGCCGGCAGCCAGCAGCCGGGGGAAGGAAGGACCCAATCGGCCCTGATCGCCAGCCAGGCCTAGGGACCCTACCTGTGCATGAGTTTCATACATTAGGCTTCTAGTCTATAATAATAAAAGTATAATATGCTAATTAGACCGCACGTCCTTCCGGACAAAGCTGGGGTTGCAGCGGGATCGAGGCAGCTGCCGTGGCTGCGAGGGAGGGTCCAGGCAGCCGCTGCAGCTGCAAAGGCCTACTCTTGCATGAATTTCATACATTTGGCCTCTAGTATTTAAGAATTCTATGTTCAGCCCAGCCCGTGTGGCTCAGTGGTTGAGCATCAACCTATGAACCAGGAGGTCACAGTTCAATTCCTGGTCAGGGCACACGCCTGGGTTGTGGGCTTGATCCCCAGTGGGGGGCGTGCAGGAGGCAGCCAATCAGTGATTCTCTCTCATCATTAATGTTTCTATCTCTCTCCCCCTCTTTTCCTCTCTGAAATCAATAAAAATATATTTTTTTAAAAAGCATTCCATGTTCGTGATGTTGAGTAGGAAAGGTCCTGCAGGGGCCATCTACCACGTGTGTCCCTCACGATCGCAGCTAAAGCAGAAGCAGGCGAGTTAATCTGGCACCAAAGGCAGGGGACCAGCAGGCTGGACAGATGTTCTCATGCTGGGGGCCGACCGTGTCTCCCAAGCAAAGCGCTCCGAGTTCCCAGAGGGAGGCCCACCCCCGCGGAGGAGGGGCTGCTGAGAGGACCCGAGGCTGGAGGAAGCCAGCTCCTGGGACAGGGGTCAGCGGCGCCCTCTGACCAGGGAGCAAATCCCACTGCCCGTGTCTACGCGGGAGCGCCGCTCAGCGAGGCCACAAAACTGGAAAGCGCCTGTGCCTCCCTCTGTATTGTTCGGTGAAATCAATTCCTCCCACAAGTGCAAACACTGCGTCTGTCTCCACAGCCGCCCACCAGAACCGCGCCCAGAGCATCTGCGCAGGAGGCTCCCCCGACCCAGCACCTCGCCGCCAGGGCCCGGTGAAGCTGGGCGGTGCCCGGCCTTGGGACCCCCGGGCAGCCACGTGTGCGCATGCTGCTCGGGTGGCGGCCCCTGCTGGCGCCCAGCCTGCCTCTGCGGTCCCTTCTCACACAGGGGCCGTCTCCACTCTTCCCAGCCCCTCATCCCACACGCTCATGTCTGCTCAGAGCCGGGCCCTGTGCCCAGTGCTGGGAAGCAGCCGAGAGAAAGACAGACCAAGTGCCCACCCAGTGAGCCTACATGCACGGGGGCGGGGGGGAGGGAACAGCCGACAGGAGACGCCTGCCAGGCCCTGATCTGATCCTAGAGGCAGAAGTGCTCCAGTTTAGGGGTCCCTAACCCCTCACGCCACGTTCTGGCAGTGGTGTGGGTTCCCTGCAGGAACATGGCCACCGCGGGCACCATGGGGCCCGGGCACAGTCCTTCCTCTGGGTGGGAAGAGCCCCCCGGCAGGCGAGGAAGGACAGCGAAGCGGAGCCACATGCCCGTGACTCTCACAGAGCAGCTGCCAACGGCCCGGGGCGCAGCCACCCGGCAGCACCACCTCCAGCCTCTTTCCGAAAAGTCCTTCCCGCACTCGGTGGACATTCCAGGTCCTGAGGACAGGAGAGGTGTGACCACCAGGAAGAGAAGCCGGACAAAACGTGTGCCAGGAGCAACGATGGGTCCTGAGGAGGGTGGAGGTGGCCTCGGCATGGGGGGCCCAGAAGCACCGGGGCAGGTGGGGTTTGGGCAGAGCAGAAAAGCCGGAGGCACGTTTCGGGAAACAGAGTCACGGGAATAAAGAGAGGCCCGTGGTGTGGGAGCCAAGACTGATCTGGCTGTGGGGGTCGGGGAGTGGAGACCCCCAGGTGGGACCCAGGATGGCAACGAGGGGTGAGGAGGGGCGGGCGGGTAGGGAGGGCTCTGACGGCTCAACATGCACAGATTGTATATATGGTCGTGAGGCTCTGCACCGGGGACCAGGTGGGGACCACGGAGATGGGGGGGCAGGGGGGCATCACCCCTGCCTGGCACACGGGCTGCGTGTGGAGCATTTACAGAGCGGCTGCAGGGGGGCAGGGCACACGAGGCGACACTGAGCCTTGCAGTACAAGCCCACAGCCACGTCATCTAGCGCTGGGCTTGGCTCGGCGCTGGCTGTTTACGTGGCATAAGCTGGAATTTCCGACGAGAGACGGCCTAGAGCCGCGAGCCCGCCAGCAGCAGCCGCGAAGGCTGCGAAGAGGGCTGGCCGGAGCGAGGGGGGACAAGGGAAGCTGTGCTTTGTCAAGAGCCATCTGGACCATTGCCACAGGATACTTGGGTTTAAAATAATTTTAAAATAAAAAATGAAGTGCCGAAGAAATATCCAAGGCTGCAGAGTTCAGGAGCGAGGAATTCCATGGACGCTGGCGTCCACCCGGGCTAACCCCCAGGAAGCCGCGGCCACCCCCCGCCCCCGGGCTGGCCAGGCCGCCGGACTTGGAAGTGTGTCTCCTCTCGGCCTCAGCTGGCCTGAGCAGGGACTGCCCAGCCCACATGGACACAGCCCGGAGGCCAGGCCAGGAGGGCCCCCGCGGGAAGCAGCCAGAGCCGGGGCAGCCGGGGGCCCCAGGGGGACACTCAGACAATGAGTCCAGGGACAGACGCGACGGCAAACCCCACCTGTTACCAAACGACCAAAGAGTGACGTTTCATGAGATAGTTAAAATCAAGACATAAAAACACATTTGAAAACAAACATGCCTACAAACAACAACAATGAAAAACTGTCTATTTCAGGTGAGGTTTTTTTTAAGCATTACTCATTCTATAGGCTGTTCCCTGACTGAATTCTCGCATTATCTGAGTTATTTTCACCACTGGATCCCGGGTGTTACTGTGCCATCTGGGAGACAGCCTTACCTCCTTTCTGCCAATTCCTGTGCCTGGAAATGTCTCCTCTTGTTTAGCTAAGTGGCTAGAATCTCCAAAACAAGGCCGCCCAGAACGGGGAGGGGGGGGCGCCCCCGCCTTACTCCTGAGCTCAGGGAAGGGCCTCCAGCCCTCTGATGGATTCCCGTCCTCAGCGCGTGTCTCATCGAGGATGGTGGCTGGGTGAGCCTGTAAGGTCTTGACTGTTGCACGTGCCGAAACCAGCCCTCATGCCCGGGTCACCCGCAGCCTGTACAGCCAACTCGGGGGAGGGGAGCACGGAGGGAAATGGCCTTTTAGGAGCTGAGGTCCCAGTACTTCCAAGAGGAGGAAGAACTCTGCCCAGTCACTCAGGACTCAGAGGGCAGATGCCAAGAGCCAAGCTGGCACCTGTAACCAGCCACGGAGCACTGCCAAGGCCTGTGTGTGCACATGTGTGCACGCATGTGCATGCATGCATGTATGCATGTGCATGTGTAAGTGGCAGGGTAGGAGCTAGGCCTCAAGATGGACTATCCAAAGTGTGAAAGTCACAGAAAACGGGACCAGGAGTTCACCAAAAGCACAAACACAGCACAGAGTCACTGAAAGGCCGAATGAGCACACGCCCCGGCCACTGTTCCCTCCTGCGGTGGCACCCACTCGACTCGAGCGTGGAGAAGACAGCCACTGAAATGCGTGTCCACCCGCCTGCCGACAGCAGTCCCCCTACAGGAAACGGGGCGACGGCGCTCCCAGTGTCGACCTCGTCCGCCACTCCTGCTGAATTACTGGCAATGTGCGAGACAACGGGTTTGGTAAAATTATCAGACTGTTTTTAAAACCGCGGGCACAAAAGCCCTACTGAAACTGGCATTGCACACACTTCTTAAACACACATTAACAGTGTGCCTGTATCCAATGGTGCAGCCTGGGCGCCGTCGGTGACATGAGCTCCGTGAGCTGCCGCTTCCGGGGTCCCGGCAGGTCTCCCACGGCCTGCACTGCACTGCGCCCCCCCACGCGGAGCCAGGAGACAGCACTGGTGTGGACTCTGCACCGAGCACGTGGCGATGGCGGGATGCCACATGCATGAACTTCCAACGTGTGGGCGAAACTAGCAACAATTGTAGCCCGAGTTCCACAGGCTTCAGGCAGGGTGCGCTCTGCGGGGCTCCGGGCCAGTTCTTTGAGTTACAGAAGCTGGGGCTTCTGGTGGGTAGGCTGGGAAGAGGGGGCTGCCCCCTCCCAGGAGAGGAACAGAGAGCTTACGAAGCCACAGCCGCACAAGCCATTCTGTTCCCAGGGCAGAGGGTCCTCTGATTGTCACAATACTCATGGGCCTGGAAAGAACTGTTCGTTATAAAATAGAGATTTCCTCAGGGAGGACCTAAGCTGACCAGATCTCAGGGCACTGCAGCGGCATTTAGTTGAAGAGGAAAGAATCATGAAATGGAAAAAAGCAGCAAAAGATCAGTTAAAAAAGAAATGACCTCCAGAAGCGTAGGTCAAATCAGGCCCACTATCCCAGCTCCTCACCCCGAATGTTACATGCACCTCTCATTCGGGGAGCCACCTGAGCGGCCTGTGCCTCTTCACTCTACGTGAGGCCCTGGAGCCAGTACGATGAATAAGATAAAGCCCTGCCCCTGCGGCATCCCGGGTAGAAAGAGCAATGCGACCCTGCAGCATGGTACCATTGGAGCCGGGTTTTGAAGGACGAATAGGAGTTTTCGGAGAGGAGAAGAAAGGAAGGCCTGGCTTCCGGGCAACTGGAAATGAGAGTGTGAATGAGTGACATTGAACAAGTGCCCGTTCTGCCTGGGAAGCAGGACTAGCTCCGTCCACCCGAGCAGCGCAGTGCAGCCCAAGCTTCCTCACCCACACACCACGGCCACGTTTCCGCGATCGTTTATGCCACGTAATGACCTTTCCCCTTATGCTTTTCTTTAAATCAGCTTATTTCTTGAAGTTTACTTTAATGCCATCGAAATGATAATATCCATTAATTTATGAGCTTGATGTATACTTAAATTTTCCCTAAATCACAAAAAATAATTATACATCATTCAAGTAACAAGTGTCCCTCCAAGAACCTGCGTCTAATAAGTCCTCTTGTGTGCCCGCCGTGTTTCCCCAGCTGGGAACTTCAAGGCCTGTGTTGTTTGAGCTGGAATCTGACCAAAGGAAAACATAAATGCAAACATCAGCGGCAAAAATGGCTTCTATCGGCCAGTTAGTGCGCCGTGACTTCACTCCTGAGGGTGTGGGCCCGGCCCGCCCACGGCAGCCCCTGCGCACGGGTGGCTGCGCTCCCAGGGGTGGGGTAACTCTATTAGGGCACTTCCATCTGACTTTCACTCCCAGTTTTACAAACAGTATTTCAGTACTTATTATGCAACTCCTAAAAGTTTAAATGTACGCTTCACTGAACAGAGAGCCTAAACTGGGTCAGAGAGCATGACTTCCGGGGAGTCATGAGGGCCTGGCGAGCGGGGGGAAGGGAGACGGCAGCCTGGGACCCTTACCTCCGTGCACGAAGCCGTGCAGCGTGCAGTCCGAAGGCCCCACCAGGTGGATCAAGCTGGACTGGCTGTAGCTGACCGTGTTCGGCTCTGGAATTGCAAAGGAGGCAGGTCAGGCCAGGGACAAACGGGTCTCCCGGCCGAACGTGTGACGGTGCTGCCACACCGGCGTGTGCGTGGTCCCCGGGCTGCCGGCAGCTTAGACCTGGGATCTCTAAGGAAAACTGTGGCCGCAGAACAGGCTGCAGGTGGCGAAGGGGAAGGCTTTCGAGGATTGATCAGCCACTCCGTTAGTGGGCCATCACGCCACCCTCTGGGGACAGCAGTGTCCCCAGCAAGGCCCTGCCCCAGCCACAGGCAGCCACCGAGCACCTGGTGGCGAGCCCCCAGGGCTGCATGCGACCCTCTGTGAGGAGCTCTTCATCTGACTCTCATTCCCGTATTGTAAACCGGCGCCGTCTTCAGGAATCGGCTGTGGAACCTCCCAAGTTCACCGTACACTTCACTCTGCACCACCGCGGCCTGGTGCCTGAGGCCCCCGGGCGGCCGGGCTCGCTGGGCGGCCTCCTGCAGGGAGCGCAGCGTCGCCGAGTCAGGAGCCGGGCGGAGGCGGAGGCAGAGCCCCTCCCGAGACGCCACGTCCGGAGGCTTCGTCCAGCCCCCCTTCGGCACGCGGCCCGTGGTCCTGGAGGGCGGGCAACTCCACCAGGGGGTGGGGTCTCGCCCACGGTTCCCGGGAAAGGCATGCGGTGTCCCCGGGACTGCAGTCCGTGCGGAGGACCTGCGGCCTCGGCCAGGGGTGTCCAGGCGGCCTGGGCTGGTGAGAGCCGCTGGGCCTCACGCCCGACGCGCCCTGCGAGGCCTGAGAAAAGGCCAGGACTCGGCGAGGCCCAGTCCCTCGTGTCACCTGTGCTCTGTGAGGGGCTGTGACAGTCCCTGCAGGTTAGGTGCACCCAGTGCCACGCCTATTGCCAGCCTCAGGGGCTCTGGGTGCCCAGACCCTGCCCGGGGGGCCGGGGGGAGGGGCACAGCCCAAGGAGCCACAAGGACGCCTGGACCATCAGAGAAACCCCAGGCAGCGCTGCCGGCCAAACACCCGGTTCCAAGCACCGTGTCCCCCGCCTGGCCTCTGCACACCCGGGCCCACCACCTGCTCTGGTTGGCTGTGTCCCGCTCAGAAAGGACAGGAAAGCCGCCGGCATAGGCCCCGCCCTGAGGGCGTCCCGGCAGCAGGCGCTCCTCTGCTTCGCTGCTAAGGGCTCGGGGTGGAGAGGCTGGAGGGAACATCTGTGACCTCCTGCGTGGGTTTGGGTGGACATTCTGTTAAAGCGGGACCACCCTGGACCTGAAGGATGAGGGACGGGCAGGCGCCGCCGGAAAGGGAGGCTGTGGCCCAGAGCTTTGTCGCCAACGCAAAAGAGCTGCTGTCACTCTGTCTGTTGCCCGTGCACACACGCTCCGGGGGCTGGGGGACCCGCAGGAGCCGGTCTCTGCGGGCAGTGGAGCCCATGTGGCACACAGGCCCCGGGCAGTGCTCGGCCTGAGCCTTTTCCTACGGGACCCCCGCACCGAGGCCTCCGGGGACTTGCCTGGTCCCCCATCACCCCAGCTGCCTGGAACCGGGAAGGGCTCGGGATGGCGCACTAACCCCAGGAGGACGTCACGGACCGGCGCCTTGTCACCTGCCAGCGGACATCAGCCATCCACCCCGGGCCACCCGCTGTACCTGGGTTCAGGCCGGGCTGGACGATGTCCCCGTTCCTCCACTTGGTCTCCATGCGCTCCAGCTTCTGGGCCTCGTAGCGCCTGCGGCCCTCCTCCTCCTGCTCCTGCCGGGAGTACTGCGGGGCAGACAGGGGGTCAGCCGGCCGCGGGGCCCGGCTCTCCTTTCTCTAACTGGCTCCATCCTTCCTCTGATAACACACATTTTTATGAACAACAGCATCACAGAGCGGGAGAAGATCTCAGGCAGCCCTCCCCTGCCCCCCGGCCCGAGATCAGATCCTGCCTGAATTATTCTCATGCCCATCTGCATAGAGCAGTTCTATCATGCTGTTCATGGACTTTAAAAGTCACAGTATTAAAAAAAAAGTAACAGTACTCCCCTCTTGCTGTATCAACATAATGCATGCGGTGGAGCCATTAAAAAGGGGCATTCAGCGTGCTCCCAGTTTTCTTCCTATTAAAACAAGCTCAGCCCTCATTTACCACCCGCCCCTCCTTCCTATTCGTTCCTGGGCACAGAGCTCAGCATCCAGGCCACACCCACTCTCCAGATACCGGTGCCCTGAGTGCCCCTCCCCCACCCCCCACACCTGGCAGCCCGGCTCTGCTGCCCCCTGGCCTGCCAACAGGCTGCATATTGTGAGGAATGTGCAGGTGAAGCTAAGACGGCCCCGCTGAGGCCCAAAAGCTGGGGCTCCGAGTCCTTTGGGCTAAAGGGGGGTATTGCGCCCTCCCATACCCATCGTCCTTTGCTGTGTAGGGGAGACCCCCAGGGACCCCTCAAAGAGGCCCCAAGTGGGCCCACGGCCCCTCTGACTGTCCACTTCCCCAGGTGCCCTCTCCGCCTTGCTGACCACAGCCTGGCCACTCTTTTTTTTTTTTTTTTTAAGGGAGAAAGAGAGAGAGAGCAACTTTGATCAGCTGCACCGTGTACACCCCCGACTGGAGATCAAGCCTGCAAACCAAGCTTGTGCCCTGACAAGGGATCGAACTGGCGACCTATTGGTGCACGGGGTGCCACTCAACCAACTGAGCCACAGAGGGTGGGCCCTGGCCACTTCCTTTTGATTAGCCCCGCCTTCTGCCCTTTCATTGGCTCAACCAGCATCGCAGAAAAGCCAATGAGCTCAGGGCCCTTGGGCTCCTCTGCCACGCCCCCACCGCACCATCGAGTCCCCACTCCACCAACGCCCCCTCCCGTTCCCCGGCCCCAAGCCCATCGGCTTAAGCAGATCCAGTTCAGAGGGCACTGCAGCCTCTTTCAAAGCCGCTTTAGGGGCTGCCCTCTGGGCTCTGCGCCGCGGGTGCGCAGGGTCTGAACACCATTCCGTTATCTCGGCCTTCAGAGCCCGCCTCCACAGGGGCTGCGAAAGGAGCTGAGTGGTTTGTTCAAGAGAAACGAACTGGAGTGTTCAGCTGCAGGGGACCACTCAACCTGGCCCTCCATAAACACTGGGTTCCCAGCCCCCAGCCATGGCTGCGAGGGAGTCTGTGCCGGCCTCGGTCGAACCCGCTGAGCTTCGCTGTCCTCAGGAAATGCCTTTTCAGAGACTAAAGAGCCGCCTCCCGGGGTAACATAGGGCCCGGCCTCCGGTCAGAGGGGACGGATGGAGGCCGCATCCTGACCCAGGCTGCGAGGACAGGGAAAACGCACCTCCTCCCAAACGCTTCCCTGCTGGCTCTAAATCTTGGGGAAAAATCACTAGAACATTCTAGTGATGGGCTGGCACCCAACTCTCACCTCCAAGAGCTCAACACACCCACTGATGTGAAGCAGAAGACAGCTCAGCCCAAAGGTCCAGGCCGAGTGTGGGCAGCTCTGTACGGGGGTGGGAGGGGGGTGGGGGCTGGGGGGGAAGAGGGGGTCACGTCAAAGGTTCCGGGGAAAGGCACCCCGGTGTCCCCTGGGACTGCAGTCAATGCAATACCTATGGCCTTGACCTAGGGGTGTCCTTCGAACCTCCTAACTCAAGCAACGTCAAGACCACGAGAAAGCCAAATGTCCATTCTCCAGTGGCCACTAGGCCACAGCTGCCCCGCCAGCCACCAGCGGCCGCCGTCTCCCCTCAAGGGCCTGAGGTCCCTGTTCCCTGGGGAAAAGGTGGAACAAGGTGGCAAAGTCCTGCACCGATGACCCTGCACAGGGCAAGAGGCAGACATGCAGTGCACCCACGAGTGCAAGTGTGTGAGAGGGAGGGATGTGTCAGATGTGTGCCTGAGGTACCATATGCGTATGTGGCGTGGGATATACATGTATGTAATATGCATGCATACACGCAAAAGGACTCCGGCTGGCTACACTGCGGGGTCTGGACCGACCGCAGCACCTCCAGGGTGTGTGCAAACGCCCAACCAGGACGGAGGCTGGGCCCGGCCATGAAAACAGACGACATTTCAAATCGACTGAGGGCTTCTGCGTGGGCCTCGCCCGTGTGGGAGGAAGCAGCTCAGACCCACCGTAGCAAGGGCTGCGGCTGGGAGCCGTGTGGCTCTCCCGTCTGGAGCCTCTGCTTCCGCTCAGAGGGACGGCGTCCACACAGCCCTCTCGGAGGGCAAGGCTGGTATTTGTCTCATCAATCCCGCTAAACAAAGGCAATGCGGAAGCCACTGGGGCTCCTCCAGGAGGAAGGCGAGCAGGGGAGAGGGGCGGGGGGGGGGGAGCTGCCCTGTCCCTGTGGGGAAGGGACAGGAGCCAGCAGAGCCGGACACTGCCCCTCCCTCAACTGACCAAAACCCAGCAGCACAGCACGTGGGCCCCGAGGAGCCAGAGAAGCAAAAGCTCGTGTTCGTCCCAGAGTCTCCCTTCAGTGTCGCCCCTTTAAGAAGTATCATATGGCCCAGCCAGCGTGGCTCAGTGGTTGAGCGCCGACCTATGAATCAGGAGGTCACGGTTCGATTCCCAGTCAAGGTATAAGCCCCGATTGTGGGCTCAGCACCCAGTCGGGGGCATGCAGTAGTAGCTGATCAATGATTCTCTCTCATCATTGATGTTTCTATCTCTTGCTCCCTCTCCCTTCCTCTCTGAAACCAATAAAAATAGAAAAATTTTTAAAAAGTATCATATGGCGCTGAAGCCAGAGACACGGCCTGCTAGAGATTTCTAAATTCTGTAGCATCTGAAATTAAATCAGTAAAAATAATTGTGTTGGAATATTTACATGGGATGTGGCTAATTCAGCACCAAGGACTTCATGGGAAAGATGAAAGCGAGGGAGGGACACAATTTCTAACAAGGACAGTCACTGCGCCTCAAACTCTCCTGGTTCTTGGGTCTCAAGACCCCCAGTTAGTGCGGCCGGAAAGTGAGGCGCTCCCACACATGGGCAGACAGAGCCCAGCTGGGCGGGATGAGGCGGGGAGGGGCCCGCGGGCAGGCTCTGGCCGCAGTGTGGTCACATTCCTGTCCCCCGGAACCTGCGCACATGGCCCCGTTTGGAACGAGGGTCTGTGCAGGTGCAACGAGCTGAGGTCACACAGAGCAGGACGGGCCTGAGTCAGGTGACTCGTGTCTGGATAAGAAATAAGGAGCCTCCCTCTCTCACATACAGGAAGGGCCATGTGCCAACGGAGGCAGAGCTCCGAGTGATGTGGCCGCAAGCCAAGGAATGCCAGGGTCCATAGCTGTCTGGTTCCAGTCCGTTATTTAAAAACGTGTTCTGTACGCATCTCGACGGCAGGAAGGAGCCCTCGCGCAGGGCACGTGCCTCGAGAGCCCGGATCTGGTTCCCTCTGAACTGCTTTCTCCCCGCAGGCGTGAGAGCAGAGAGCAGTGGCTCTCACAGACGAGCCATTCACGCGTGTCCTGGGGACAGCCAGCCACACGGCAGTTACAAGAGGAGGAGGTGAGGGAGCAATTGTGGGGAAGGAGCCCCGAGCTGCCCGCTGACCCTGCTTCCCAGAGGCCCCCAGGAACAGACACGACGAAGCCTCTCCATGCAAAGATGCGTCTGCCCACAGCAGCCGCCCAGAGGAGCCAAGGGCTGTCTAAGCTCAGGTCCTCAGGGGCCCAGAGGGGCTGAGGGGCAAGGCTGGCCTAGGCAAGGCTGGCCTGGGCAAGGCTGCCGGCGGTCCTGGCTCTCAGCTCATGAAGATTCGTGAACAGAAACCTCGTGAAATTGGAGGTGGAGGGCTCCCCTGCCTTCACTCACCCGCTGCCCCTCAGGGAGAAACACTCGCCATCTCCCACAGGAAGGCCTATTCTAGCCACTACTCCAGCAGGAGGGGGGATCTTCTCCTCGCCTGGCAACCACTCAGCCAATGAGAAGCAGCCACACTCTGGACTCCCAGCAGCCCCTCTGCACCCCCCTTCCCTCTATAAGAGAGCCTGCCTCTCCTCTGTTCTCTGGACTTGTGGGTGGCGCCAATAGACAGTGTGTCCCTAATTGCCATTCTTTGCTGTTCCTGAGTAAACCCAGTTTGGGGAGAAATGTCCAGCTGTCTGTCTGTCTAAGGTCAACAGGCAGGAGGACCCTCACCAGGCATGGCCGTCGCCTGCCTTTTGTCCGGTCAGAGTGGGATAAAGGGCCCGGCGGGGTGTCCCTGGGGTCTGGGCCAGCCACACTCACATACCCAGCTTGAATGAAACCTACGCGGAGAGACAGGGACCCCTCCCCGGCCCCACCTGGCTCTCCGGGGGTGCCTCCTACCATCAGAGTGGCCGGCTTCTGTCATCTGCCCCGTGAGAAACGGAAGGGGCCTCCTTACCACAACCGGAGGCACCTCCAGGACCTTGTCCACATTCTTCAGCGACAGGGGCACGTACCACAGGGTGGCCTTATTGGTCAGCTTTTTGGTACCTTCAGAGAAGAAAACCACAGGAGTGAGGGCCTGGGGAAGGAGAGCGGGGCGCCAGGAACGCCACCATCTGACCCCTGACCCCCAAGGCCTTTGGCCATGACGTGCAAGCACAGGCCCCCAGCAAGGGACCCTCCCCACAATCCTGTCATTCCCAAAGGCTGCTGGGAAGACTGCAGGTCACCTGGTTCAAGGTGTGTGTGTGTGTATGTGTGTGTGCACGCGCACGCGTTCCCCAGGCCTGTCGGCTTTCTGGCACTTGCTAACACGGAGGCCCCGAAACCAGACATGCTGTCTGTGAAGGGGTGTAAATAGAGGGCAAAGTGGGGCCGCCCCATCTGCTGAGAAACCTGGGCCAAAAGCAATCACTGGGTCCACACCTCTCACTCTCACAGGAGGAGCCTGAAGCTCAGAGAGGTCAACGGGTTTGCCTAGGGTCACACAGCAAGTCGGTGCCATTCTGAGTACAGACCTAGGCTTTCTGGGTCCCAGGAATTTCGGGGAAGTATTGGCAAGGATGTCTTTTAAAAATTGCCTCTTACGCCTGGCTGGTGTGGCTCAGTGGTTGAGCATCGATCTGTTCCTGGACAGAGCACATGCCTGGGTTGTGGGCTCATCCCCAGTAGGGGGCGAGCAGGAGGCAGCCACTCGGTGATTCTCTCTCATCACTGATGTTCATCTCTTGCTCCCTCTCCCCTCCTCTCTGAAATCAGTGTGTATATTTTTAATTCCTTTTCCACGGGAAACCGCGTGGAATGGAGGTAGCGGGACGGCGAGGAGCGGCCCAGGGACCGGGGAGCCCTCCAGGCGCTCACTTCCTACAGTTCCTCCCGACCTGCCTTCCCGAGGTGAGCCCGGGGCTGCGGCTTCCTCCCCCCACCTGAGGGCGTGATTAGATCGATTAGAGCGAGAGCGTGAGAGAGAGAGAGAGAGAGAGAGGCCATGGGGGCAGCTCTGGCCCACAGCACCTGGGACAGCAGGCTCCGCGTGCGGGAGCCACAGGAAACATGGGGAGCCTTTTCACTGAACTCCGACTGAAAGCGAACCTGACAACCTGCTTTTGGGAATAAAGATTTCCTGTCTGACTCAGCTAGAGCCAGCCTGACGAGCTGGTTTCCATGGAAACCCGGAGCGGCCCTCCTCTGGACCCAAATGAGCGCCATGGAGCAAATGAGGCAAAACATACTAATTGCACTTTCCCCATCATTTAATAAAACCATCGCTAGGCAGCTGCGGCATTAGGAACGTCTACTTCAGAACCTGAGAGCTCCCAGCTACTTCCTGGAGCAATTTACAGCAATCACACCCCAGTTAGCGGAATATTTTGACAGTTGCCGGAGATGAAGAGCCGCCTGCCTGCCTGGGTGTGTGCTCGTTCAAGTGCCTCCCGACAGGCACCGTGGCCCGGGCGGAAGGGACACACAGACGGGGCTGAGAACAGAGACGTCGCGCAAACAGCTCATGTCCAGCTTTGCCGGCTGTCCCCCTGCCAACCTCAGTTCCCGTACCTGTCAGAGCTCACCGCCCGCCCGTGGTGTTCGTGAGGGCCCGGCACTGCTCGGGGCGTCGGGGACTGAGGTGGACAAGGCAGCCGCAGCCCTGTCCTCAGAGGGCTCACACCCCCGGGGACATGTGGGCAAAAAGAGACACAACAGGACAGGGAGGCCTTGGGAGACCAGGGTCCCAGAAAGAGACGCAAACAGATCCAAACATGGGGGACCCAGGCGAGCATAAGAAAGGGACGGCTCTTTAGCGGGGTCCAGGGCAAGATGACCAGGACGTGGAGAAAAGCCCAGCGCGTCTGAGAGCTGGGCAGTGCCACCCCGGCCTGTCTGAGCGGCTTCTCCGCTCTCCTCTGGGGGCAGTTCAAGTCCTGAGGGCCATCTGCAAGGCCGCGGCACGGGGAGGCTCAGGGAGGTGGCGCACCTCCTGAGGGCAGGGCTGTCTCCTCGCCCTCTCTGCCCTCACGCCAACGAGGGCTCTGTGCCACAGCCTGAGACCCGCAGCAAAAGGTCCCTTTGATGCCAGAGCCACCTGCCCTGTGCAGGGCTCGGGCCACAGACGCGAGGCACAGGCACACTGACCACTCCCCCACCCAGGCCCTTGCTCAGCTAAAGGTCCGGTGTTCACTGCAGCCGGGCCTGCTGAGGCCACCAATGTCACCCTGTTCTCCTGGCCCTGGGGGAGAAGCCTCTAGCCGCTCCCCGAGCTCTGAGCTCAGCACTGCAGGCAGCCTCAGCCCAGGAGGGGGGCGGTCGGGAGGAGGGGCGAGGCCCAGGCAGCTCCCTCCTCCAGAACCGGGTGGGCTCAGGCTCTCCTGTACCTGGGTGCGGGGAGGGGGGTAGAGTGGAGGGTTGGGGGGCAGGAGCAGCCAGGGGATGGAGGCCCTGTTCCTCAGCAGCAGCCGGGCTATAAAAAGCAGCCAGTGCCAGTTAGAAGCAAAGCCACACTCCCCTGCAGCGCCCAGTGGGAGGATGAAAACGGGTTTCCATGGTTACCACACCAAGGAAGAGAATATTCAGATCAAACCAGAGTCAAAGGTCGCCCAGTGAGCTTCAGCCTAAACCTGGTTTGGGGCAGGGGAGTGGAGGGGGGGGGGGAGCAAGAGGTGCAGAGGGAGCAGGGGCACCTGTGCCCTCCCAGCCACTCCCACGCTCTGCCCGGGATGAGCTGCCAGAGGCAGGGCGGGCAGGGCTCCCACACTCAGACCCTGGGCTCGCTGCTGACACAGGCCGTGCCGTCTCCCGGTAGGAGCAGCTGCTCACTTTGTGGGGGGAGCTGGGACCAGCGCCCCGAGCAGCGCCCCTCCACCCACCCGAGCGGGGAGCGCGCGCTCACCTGTGAGGATGTTCTCAGACATGACGTGGACCTGCACCTCCACCGAGTGCTTGGACGTGTAGGTGATCTCCGCGCTGACGTGCGCCACCTCGCCGATGCACATGGGCGACAGGAAGTCGGTGCGCTCGACCCGGGCCAGGACGGCCACGCAGCGCTCCTGAAAGAGCAGACACGGTCAGCCCGGCGGCGAGCCCCGCCCCGGAGGTGCTCCCCCACGCGGCCCTGACTCTTTCACACATTCCTAAGGCGACACCACGGGAGCGCGCATGCCCACGGGACCCTCCAGAGATCGCGCGTGACCGCGGGTGGGACTGCGACCGGCGTTTTGCTTTTATCCAATCTTCCTACAAAAGACACGTGTGACTTGCCTGATGAAAGGTGAGAAAGACACGCGAGCTTATATGGGAACTTGGGAAACAGAGACAAGCGGACAGAGGAGGGACGCCCCTCCTCCCGCCACGGACGACGATTTCTGTTGTGGGATCTCCCTTCCCAGGCGTGTCCCCTAAGAACAGGGGTTCGCCGGCTCATGGGTTCCTGTGCCTCGGTCTGTTTTGCAGCTTTCGTCCTTAAATAACTGTGTAAAGACTAAATTCACACTTTCATGCTCTGCTCTCACTCAGCGGGAGGAAAGGTAGCCTGCGGTGATGTGACAAGCTCTGAGCATCACTGGTCTTTTATGTAAATTTCACTTCTCTTGCAACCAGGCAACCCATTCTCATGACTCAAAATTCAAAAGGAACAGAAGGTCCCCAGCCCCAGGACATTTGGTAAGCAGGCCAGGAAGTCCTCGGGGCTGCAGGGCCTCTACAACCCCCCCCACCCCCGCTCCACCACCACCACCACCACCACCGCCCCCGCCAGGAAGCTCATCTCCTGGGACCGAAGGACTTCTCCACACGCCATTGCAAAAGAAGTTCATGGCTGAATGGACTGGAATCCGTTGTTAGAGATTTGGGCCAACCCCACTGTTAACGATAAGTAGCTCAGTGCCGAGCACCCTTGGCCTTGCTTTCCGTGGTGGGGACTGCTTCCCGTGTGGGAAGGACAGACACGGGGACGTATCCCCAGGGCACTGCTCAACAGGCCACAGTGCCGGAGTGGCCCACTGTCACCTGCGAACTGCAGACTCGAAGGACACCTTGTGCCTGAGCAGAGGCTGTGGGTCCTCATCGCCTCACAGGGCGCTGAGCGCCTGACTCCCCACCGGAAAGCAGCGTCCATTCCAGGAGCCTGGCCAGCAGCACGGGTCTGACTGCGGGGAGGGCCGGGGAGCAGGAGAGCTCACCACGGAGAGCCGGTCAGGCCCTGGGCCCTGTGAGGCTGGAGGTGGAGGCCTGATCAGGTCTCAGCAAGGCAGGGGTCAGGGTGACAGCGAAAGGGCCACGCCTGCTGTCCCCACTCCGCCAACACTCTCACACACACACACACACACACACACACACACATACAAACACACACACACACACACACACACACACACACACACACAGGCTGGCAGCACAGCATCGCAGGGAACACAGGGAAGGTGGCGTTGCCTTTAAGTCAGTTCATGTGGCTACAGCACCACCCACTGGCAGAGGCTGGACAGGCAGTTCAGCGGCGCGGGCAGGAATGAGGGGCCAGCTTGCAGGGCTGCGGGCGGGCGGTTAGCCTGTGGCATGGATATGCCACACGGATGCCATCCACATCAGCATCTTCAGTGGGACCGCACGCGTGGGCCCCGGGCGGATGAGCTTGTGGAGCCGGCTCTGCGCGGCGCTGGCATCGAGGGAGGAGGGCAGAGCGCCTGCCCGGCCGGGCACTGGCTGGAGGCCACGCCACACGGCGCGGTGCTCTGAAGAGGGCGGTGTGGGACGGGGCAGCTGCAGAGGAGGGGACGGTGAAGGTCTGGGGTGGGCACCCCAGGCAGAGGGCAGAGCAGGGCCCCAGCCATGGCCGCTCTGGAGGCGTCGGGAGACTGAGCAGGCCGCTCACCTTCTAGTCCACTCGTCCCAGTTGCGTGAAGCTTTAGCGAAGGGCATTAGTGCTCCTTCCGTGACCAGAACACGAGTGGGATGCCTTGAGGCAGAGGCCCCTCTCGATGCTGTTCCGATGGTGCTCTTAGCACAGACCCGTCCAGAGCGCGCGGGCCGGCCCCGGGCGTCCCTGCTGCTCCCGGGGGGAAGGCCACGCAGAGACATCAGGCCGGTCCTCCAGCTTAAAGCACGGAAGGAGGGGACTGCGCTCCGCCTCTCAGGCTATCATCCCACGGCCGTGACAAGGCGTGGGCTACTGTGGGGGGCGGAGGCCTGGCTGTGAGCGGCTGTTCCCGTGGGTGGAGCCCACAGTGCCCGCGTGCCCGTGGGTGAGAGGACAGCAGGGCAGAGAGGCTCCAGGTTTGGAGCCTGAGTCACGGCCAGGCCGCTTCCCGAGGAGGAGACTGTGGAGAAGCAGCCTGGTGGCCCCTCAAGGTCAAGGGGACGATGAAGCATCGGTGCAGCCAGGCCTGGACACAGAACCTCACAACTGTTTAGGCCACAGACTGGATGAGACCACCAGGGAGTGTGGATGGGGGTGTCCCCTGTCCCTCCCCCGAGGCCAGCATCAGCCCCTGGAGCTGCCCTGGGCTCACCACCCCTCCTGAGCCTGGAGGCAGGTTACTCTCTGGGGACACCAGCCCGGAGGCACCGCCAAGCCGACCTGTCAAAGCTGCCCCTCTCACCCCCCAGGCTCACGCCAGGGAAGGGGGAGGAGGGGCCAGGGCTCAAGGCACGGGTTCGAGGCCTGGATTTCCAGCCCAGACCAACGACCTGCCTCCCTGTGTGGCTTCAGGAAACTATTCAACCTCCCTGGGCCTCCGTTTCCTGCCCTGGGCAGTGGGGTTGGTGAGAACAGCACTGCCGCGAGGACTACATGAACAGCACTGACAGCAGCGTCACACTCGCCTCCCAGCCTCCTCCTCCTCACGCCTCAGTCCTGGGGCTCCTCCCCCCAATGCCCAGCCTGTCTTGTCAGCCTGCCTTGGACCCTCAGCGTCTCCCGCAGAGGGTCTGCCAGGCGCCTGGCCCCCATCCCAGCCCCAGCCGCTCAGGCTCAGGTTCAGGCTCAGGCTGCCTCCCCGTGGCCACCAGAGGGCGCGCTCTGAACGGGATGGATTGGCCCCAGAACGCCCTGGGCACCAGGATGAATGCAAACTCCTAGCCAGGCAGGGAGCCCCTCCTTCCCAGGCCATGTCCACCCACACACTCACCAGCTTGGTTCATGCTACAGGCACACACGTGCACGCTACACACACACACACACACGCACACGCACACGCACACCAGCGCTGGATCTGCCTCTGCCCAGCACAGCAGGAGGCCCCCTGGGGCCGGGGAGGTGCGTCTCAGGCACACAGAGCCACACGCCTCCTGCTGGCCCCAAGGTGGTGGCTGTGGTGCAAGACAGACCCACCCCCCCCCCCACCCCCACACCCCAGGGTGGCTTCTCCCATGCCAGCCAGACTTCAGAGAAAATGCCAGGCCCCACGGGTCTGGGGGCACGGGGCCTGCCCTCGTCCCTGCGGTGAGGGACACCATAATCGGTGCCTGGGGCTTCACAGGCACCCAGGGGTCAGCCAGGGCAGCGGAGGGACTGGGCCCAGGGGGTCTGTGTCTACTATAAACTGCCACCCATGCAGGCATGGCTCTGTGAGGTCTGGACTCCAGGAAGATTCTAGAAACCACGACTCTTCCAGAAAGGAGGGCAGGTGCTTAAAGGTGCCGTTGGCAGGCCCTCAGCTCAGTCTGTCGGCCCCCAGCCCCGCCCCAGCTGAGCCCCAGCCACACGGCGTTCCAAGGGCCTGGCCCAGGGATGATTGGGCCGCAGCCTCCGGAAGCCCCCACGGCCTGGGAGTCGGGGGCAGGGAGGCTCCTCCACCAAACTCCCCTCCTGACCCCCGGGGGGCAGCGCCGCACGCAGACGCCTGGGGCCCCACTCACCCCATTCTGGCTGTTGCAGTGCCGGGTGCTGATGATGACCCCCGCCTCCTCGATCATCTTCAGGATGGTCCCCCCGTGCACGTTGCCGGCCACGTTGGCGTCGTCGGGCCGCATGATCCTGGGCGGAGGGAAGAGGCAGGATGAGGCCTCTGGGAAGGACGTCCCCACGAACAGTGACAACCGGGGAGAGGACAAAGGGACCGCTGGCTCCCCGAGAAGGAAAAAGACCTGTCCCGTGTTTGGTCCGGGGGTGCTGTTTCCGCAGAGAGAGGAGGGCAGGGGGCCTGCCCCTGGAGCCCCGGCCGGGGAGGGGTGATGGTGGGACCTTTGTTGGCAGCTGCCCCTCCCGGTTCCCATCAACCGGCAGAGCTGAAGGAGCACAGGACACAGGCTGCGGCCCCTCGGAGGACGAACAGGCCCGGGGCCACCTCCAGGGGGAGCCCCGAGGAGCAGCTCTGAGACGCGGGAACGCCCAGCCTGGCGGCCTGCAGGGGCGACCTCCACCAGCTGCCCCGGTGCCACTGGCCACCTCACTTCCCGGGAGGAGGGAAGGGGGCTCCATGGAGTCTCTGAACCCAACAAGCCATCGCGGGCTCCTCCCCGCAGGGACAGGCACTGAGCACGTGCCACGGTTCCCGCACGCCCAGCACTCACCCCAGGTCACCAGCCTGCTCGGCCCGCGGGCCAGCGTGGCCCCCACAGCACCCTCCGCCGCCTCCGGGGGGCCTGCTCCCCTCAGCAGCCCGGCGGCTGGCAGCCTGAGGGCGGTCCTGGCTCCAGCACCAACGAGCTGGGTGCCCTGGCCAGCTGCCCACACGCTCACCCCTCCACTCCCGGGTCTGTAAACACCCAACTGCCCTCTCCCCGCGGGAGGGCTGGGCTGACCACACGAGAGAACGCGATCGGCGCCACCAGAAACAGTGTCCACCCGCGGCGGCCTTCCTCTCTCCTGAGTATTCAGCCAGCTTACTGCAGGGCACCCACATCCCGGGCGGCTGACAGCTGTCGGTCTCTGTCGCCCAGGCCCAAACAAGTACCACAGCCCATTCAGGGGACCTGGCTTCTCGCCCCCCATCACTGGCGCAGGGGCAGCGGTGCCAGGGGAGCCCCCAGAGCACAGGAAAGAAGCGTCACTCGGCCTCTCAAATGTTCACTTAAAAATATTTTGAGCCCTGGATGGTGTTGCTCAGTAGTTAGAGTGTCGGCCTGTGGACTGAAGGGTCCCAGGTTCGGTTCCTGGTCAAGGGCATGTGCCTGGGTTGCAGGTTCATCCTCGGAACCAGTCAGGGCACGTGCAGGAGGCAACGAATCAATCAATATGTCTCTCTCACATCAATGTTTCTCTCTCCATTTCTTCCCCTCCCTCCTTCCACTCTCGAAAAGTCAATGGAAATAATGTCCTCTATTGAGGATGAACAATAACAACACAATAACAATTTTGAATCAATGGGTTAAAGACTTGAACGTGGGACCTGAAACCAGGCGGCAGGCTGCCTGACAGCGGTCTCGGGGATGACTGTTTTGGATGTGACACCAAGAAACAAAGACAGCAGAGCAACGTGAGCAGGTGGACGGCGCCAAGCGAAAAGGCTTTCAGCGAAATGAAAGGCGCCCTAGAGTGGGAGGACGCACCTGCAAATCATGTATCTGAGAAGAGGTTAATATCCAAAATATATAAAGAATTTAAAACGTTCCACTTAAAAATGGGCGGAGAAACTAAATAAACCTTTTCCAAAAAGCACATACAAATGGCCCCCAGGTACAGCTCCACATCACTAAGCTTCAGGGAAACAGATCCAAACCCAGAGAGACATTGCCGGGGTCTTGTTCCAGCATCTAGAAGGTTCAGCAATCTGGAGAAAGGCTGTGTGTGACTTAATAGAGTCCAGTGACGAAATGTAATTTTGAAAGGCATTGGGCCCAGGTCAGAGGAGCTTAGCTAAAGAAACTAAGTTCTCCTCGGCTCAGGACTCCATGCTTTTTATTAACACAGTTTGTCCTGAGTCGAGGCAGATATATACACTTCAAAGGGTCAGGGTTTCATATACAGAGTCCCTTGTCAGGTTGGGGGAATTAGCCTACGCTGTTCAGGTGCTTGGCCAGTAGGAGGCAATAACATGTAGATTAAGATGCCCTGAGCTGCTTGGCAACCAGCAATCAATTTAATGCATCCTTTTCAGGCTGCGGAAATGCCCTCAGCCACTCCCAACAGGCATAACATATGTGACCCAGCCCTTGTTGAGCCCCAAGTTTCATCAACCTTTCCATGAAACTCTCTCCATTATGACGTGCTGGAACTGGCTTCCGGCAAGACATCACCTCACGCCTGCCAAATGGCTGTTATCAGAGACAAGAAACAAGTGAGGTGAGGGTGTGGGGAGGGACCCCGCGCGCTGCTGGCGGGGATGTAAACGGTGCAGCCGCCATACACAAGTGTGAAGGTCCCTCAAAAACCTGAAGCTAGAACTGCCACATGCCCCACAATCCCACTTCTGGGTACGTGTCTGAAGGAAATGAGATCTCTGACTCAGAGATACGGGCACCCCATGTTCACTGCAGCGATACTTAAACATGTGACAGCCTAAGTCTCCATCGCCGGATGAGTGGGTAACAAAGACGTGGTACACACACAATGGAACATTGCTCGGCCATGAAAGGAGACCCTGCCATCTGCCACCACATGGATGGGCCTGAGGGCATGATGCCGAGTGAGATAAATCGGACAGAGAAGACAGACACCGTATGATCTCACTTACATGTGAAATCTAGAAGCTCAAAATCAAAGGTGCAGAGAAGAGACTGGTGGTTGGGGGCGGGTGTGTGAAATGGGTGAAGCGGGCCCTCATCGACCAATGGGAGCTCAAGGGTAGAGCCTGATGGAGGCTGGATCTGTCCATCAACTCCCCGTGCACAGTTGTCACAGTGATGCCAAGGGCAGGAGTGTCTCCGACAGATGCCTCCACCCATGATTAACCAGGTGTGCTCAAGTCACTCTCTGCAAAGGAGGTCAGGGTTCAATTCTGGTCAAGGGCACATGCCTGGGTTGCAGGCTTGACCCCCAGTAGGGACCGTACAGAACACAGCCAATCAATGACTCTCTCTCATCATTGATGTTTCTAGCTGTCTCTCCCTCTCCCTTCCTCTCTGAAATCAATCTATATATATATAAAAGGCTAATATGCAAAGTGTCCCCTCGGGAGTTCGACCGGGAGACTGGGAGTTTGATAGCTTGCTCTGAAGTGCACTGACCACAAGGGGGTGGTGCAGTGTGAAGGAAGGCCCCGGCTGACAGCCAGAAGGCCCTGAATGGCCCTCATTGCTGGCCAGGCCTAGGGACCCTACCCATGCATGAATTTCGCACACCGGGCCTCTAGTATATATATATTAAAAAGGACAGGCATATAGACCAATGGAACAGAACAGAGACCCCAAAAATTGACCCACACTGTTACAGTCAATTAATATTTGATAAAGGAGGCAAGAACATACAATGAAGTAAAGACAGTCTCTTCAACAAATGGTGTTGAGAAAACTGGACAAACACATACAAAAAGATGAAAATAGACCACCAACTTCACAAGAATAAACTCAAAATGGATAAAGAGGAGCATTTGGTATATGTTGTCAGCTAGGTTCAAATAAACTCATAAAATTTAAAAAAAAGAGCCAAAACCGGTTCGGCTCAGTGGATAGAGCGTCGGCCTGCGGACTGAAGGGTCCCAGGTTCGATTCCAGTCAAGGGCATGTAGCTCAGTTGCGGACACATCCCCAGTGGGAGATGTGCAGAAGGCAGCTGGTCGATGTTTCTCTCTCATCGATGTTTCTAACCCTCTATCTCTCTCCCTTCCTCTCTGTAAAAAATCAATAAAATATATTTTTTAAAAAAATTAAAAAAAGAAAAAGAATAAAAGACTTAAATGTAAGCCATGAAACCATAAAAATCCTAGAATAAAACAAAGGAGTAAAATCTCAGATATGTCACACAGCAGAATTTTTGCTGATACATCTCCTAGGGCAAGAGAAACACAGGAAAAAATAAACAAATGGGATTACATCAAAATAAAAGGCTTCTGAACAGCAAAAGTAACCAGCATCCAAATGAAAAGGGAGCCACAGTATGGGAGAACATATTTGCCAATGACAGACTGATAAGGGCTTAATTTCCAAAACATATAACGTATTCATGCAACTCAACAAAAGGAGGACAAATAGTCCAATTAAAAAATGGGCAGAGGACCTGCAGAGACACTTCTTCAAAGAGGAAATACAAATAGCCAAGAGACATATGAAAACATGCTCAAAGTCACTAATCATCAGAGAAATACAAATTAAAACAACAATGAGATGTCAGCTCACACCTGTCAGAATGTCTACCATCAACAAATCAACAAGTGCTGGGGAGGATGTGGAGAAAGGGGAAACCCGCCTGCACTGCTGGTGGGAATGCAGACTGGGCAGCCACTGTGGAAAAGAGTATGGAGTCTCCTCAAAAAATTAAAAATGGAACTTCCTTTTGACCCAGCAATCCCACTTCTGGAAATATATCTTAAAACCCCGAAACACCAATCAGAAAAGATATGTGCACCCCTATGTTCACAGCAGTGTTATTTACAATAGCCAGGGTCTGGAAACAGCCTAAGTGCCCATCAGCAGACGAGTGGATAAAAAGCTGTGGGACATCTACACAATGGAATACTACACAGCTGTAAACAAGAGGGATCCCTTACCCTTGGGACAGCATGGAGGGACCTAGAGACTATTATGCTGAGTGAAATAAGCCAGGCAGAGAAAGACAACTATCCCATCATTTCACTTATATGTGGAATCTAATGAACAAAATGAATTGACCAACAAAGTAAGACCCAAAGCCTGGAGGCATGGAATAGACTGACATACCTCCGTGTGGGGGTGGGAGCACAAGGAGAGATAAACCAGAGAACTTACATACTTACTAGAAGCCCGGTGCACAAAATTCATGCACAGGGTGGGGGGGTCCCCTCAGCCCAGCCTGCACCCTTTCCAATCCAGGACCCCTTGGGGGATGTCCGTCTGCCAGTTTAGGCCCACAGAGATTGGGCCTAAACCAGCAGTCAGACATCCCTCCCACAATCTGGGACC